TGCAGATCTGTACGCACAGAGGAAATCCTTCCTGCACCGTGATTTAAAAAGTAAGAAGTTGTAAGGAACTATGCGAAACTACCATCAGGGTGGATTTGATTTATATCAATTAAATTCTTGATTGAAATCATGATTTAAATCACTAGTAAAAAGGCTTGATTTAAATCAACTTGCTTTCAATCATAATTTTTAAAGAGCAATTGTTATCTTTGTCCCCCAGTGGCTCCTCTGCCCCTCTGTTGATTCACCATCAGTCCCTTTAATTAATAGGACGCCTGGTGATGCGGCAGTGATACAACAAGGTGAGGGACGTGGCAGGCAGCAGGTGAGTAGATGCCTGCTAACAGGCACTGCCATGATGGCTCTGAAATGACAGGTGCTTTTTAATATTATATTTATAAGCTGCTTAGGAGGTTTCACTTTCATTTTTACTGCTTGTCCTTCCTCCTCACACTTAGAGCCTGGTGGTACAGATACATTTCTCTTCAGACAATTATACAGTTTGTAGAGTACATACATTTGCAAAACAATGGGATAAAGGAATATTACTGAACTTTGCTTTATGATTTATCTCATGGTTACTGTGAAATTGTGTGAATGCATCAATGCAGTGCATGTTATCTCAGCTTGCAGAGCTTGGATTCATTGAACGAGTTTACCAAAAATGTAAATATTGCAAGAATATACAGCCTCATGCTACTTAACTAAGCTCCATTTCATGCTGAATTAATGTAATGTATTAATGTATCTTAAATAGTAAACTATCTTTAAACAGATTTTTATTCCAAAAGCATTTTATTAAAATAAATTTGATAAAAATTAAAAAAAATGATTTAAATAAAGAAATCCAAATTTTAAAATTTATTTTTATTTTAAAAATCCTCAATTTTTATCCACCCTGACTACCATAGTTTCAAATGAAGTTTCCGTATGTGGAAAATCTGAAATGTAGATATTAATGTTCTAAAAAGTATTGCCCCAAATGGATATAGGAGTGGTGAATGGACAGGAATAAAAAAAAGAACTGTCATCCTTCCCAAATAGTGGAAACTAAGTGCTGTGGATTCCTGAATCTTCAGAGACCTGCACTTCTTTCTGTTCCCAGTCCTTGTGACTAAACATATTAATCTTCTAAAGAAAAAAAAATGGTTGAAAAGATGATACAATGTGGCCTAGTGACTAAAGGATGATGACAGTATCTGGTAACGATCCATTAACATTAAAAGCTCTGCCTGGAAGCAGCCATTGATTCTGCAGCATAGATATCCATAGATTCCCTATGGAGTCTTCCTCCCCCAACCCCCCACTTATACTTCCTAGCTTCCACAGAAGATGCTGGATGTGGCTAAACTGAGTGCTTCACTTAGCTCCCTTAATTATTCATATTGAAAACAAGTCTGGATGTGGGCCTTGGAGGCTTAGCTCAGTTAGTCAGATATGCAGGGAAGGTAGGCTTCCTTTGATTTTATGCCGGCTTTTGTAAAAGGCTGATATTGTAAAAATATAAGGGGGGGGGAAGCCTTTTGAATGTTGCGCTCTTCCTTTTGAGCAGTCTTATATAATTCTGGAATGTTATGACATCTCCCTGGCCAACATTATGGAGAATTCAAGTTTGCATTTTTAAAAACTAAGCAGTTATCAGGAAGATGGGCAGAATTGGTTGTTGTTCCTTATAGAAAGAGAATATCCACATGGACTCTGTTCCTCAAAATAAAAATACAGTACATGACACTTTCTGCACAGCTTCAGAGGACATAAAGGAATGGCTGCTGTTTTCCAGTGATGTCTTTGTCAATAACCTTTGTGCTTTGTTCAAGCAGCTGCCAGACTAACGTTTTCGAAGGCCCCTAAAGCTGTTCAGCCTGTCATTTATTGTTGTTCTTACACACACACACACACACACACACACACACACACACACACACACACACACACACACACACACACCGCTCACCAGTGGTGAGATTCAATTTT